AGGTTGCCTGGAGGTACCACCGAAGAGATGTGGCCCCCAGGGCCGCAGAAAGAAACGTGCTCACACATCATATTGGTCCACTTGTGATCACCTGTGAGCGCTGTGAGGTGGTGGCCTTAAAATGCTCCAAAAAGGAAGAGGTGTTTTACAAAGTCCATCAAGAAGTCCAGTTTTCAGCCACCAAAAAGAACACATGAAACACAACCGCATGATTGAAACACAGGAATCTATTAGATTGGCAGTGATTGGTATATCTCAATGTCATCCGTTTCTGATTTCTGTATCTGGTTCCCGGTTGCCACAAAGGCCCGTCGCTTGCGCCATTGAGCTCGTCTCTCGATCCGCTCCCACCCCAGGTGCCGGGAGCCTTTGGAACCAGCCGCTTCGGTGGGGGGGCCCAGTATGCCGTCCACCGACGGAAGCGGATGTGACCCTGCGGCGGTCCGTTCGGTGGCTCAGCCATGCAGACCGGTGTGTGGCGCCAGAAACCAGCGGCGGTTGTGGTGGTTTGGGACATTTTTGGGGCTATTGCTCGACTTTGGTAGGCTCCAGCACTATAGTTGGCAAGCAGGTAGTTCTTCAAGTAGGGTACGGAACGGGCCCTTTTGGGCTGGACAAGCTTCCGATATAATAACTTTATAGTATTATAGTGATTTTGGATTAGGACCATCTTGTTGGATGACTATAAGACTACAAACTGTAAAGGTCTTGGTTAATTACTGTTCTTTTTCCGAAGTGCTCCAAACTCCGTTTGAACAGAACCCTGGTTCTTCAAGCCGGCCCGCAAACATGGACATACCATGTTGCAAACAAATGGGACCATGACATCATCACCCCCTTGTAGTCACCCTTTGATTCTTTGTGTCGATTGTATCTTTGTTATGTGTTTTTATGTTTTTTTTGTGTGTGTAGATGTGTAGTGCCTCGCAGTTCTTATCCCTTTCGCTCTTCTTCCTGAAGCACGGGCACCTCCGTTCCGCGGAATGGAGCTTGCAGAAGACTGGAACGCGAACCCCTGGAGTGGTGATGAGATTCTTCTCAAAAGGACAAAAGGGTCCCGCGCCAAGAGACGACACGTCCAGATTCGACTGGTCCGAACTCGGAGTTCGACGCCGGAGTTCGACAGCGATTTGCTCTGAGGTTTGGGACACGTGCGTGTGACCTCCAAACCATGCACCTGGGAGCGTCGCAAGACCCAGATTCAGATGTCAGAAGAAGTGGTTGCTGGACAGAAACAGCAAGAGCCAAGATGAACTGAACCGAAGGCTATTATAGTGATTTGGAATCCAGGATTTCATTCAGCAACCTTCTACCAAAACGACATCTTCGCATCCCGAGGTATGGAAGCAGAGCTTGAATTGAAGGACACCTGCCTGCGCCCGGCAGCCTGGGATGTGCCAAATGGGCTTTGGCTCCAAGGATGTTGAGGCACCGACCATGCAAGCCTACCCACACCGTTTGAAAGTGTTTTGGCATGTTTTTGCGGTTGCAGGGGCATGAATCATGAACATGATTCACACAAGAATCAAAGGGTGGGTCCCTGGCTTCTGGGAGCCTTGGAAGGCTTTGCAATCACCGGAAGTTGTGGTTTTCAACTTTGTGGGACTTTTACCCAGCCTTGGTTTAACAGGGCGTCACCGCTCAACTCGAGCTGCTCAAGCGGGTGGACGCGCTCGGCTCGCGCCTCACGGTGCGTCTCAGGTGCTGTGTCCTCGAGCGGCGCCCACTTCAATGTGGTCGGTGGAGCCCAATCTCGGGGAGTGTGGGAAGTTTTGCCGTGAAACCATGAGAGGGGGTTCACAAGCTTTTGAGAGGGGCTGCGAACAAAAAGGGAAGATGAGCATGAAGATCGGTGAATTCTACAAGGAATGGCGCCTATTTAAATGGCCAGGGCCAATAGTATAATTCCGCGCCGCTATTGTTATCTCTCAATCGGGTATGCGGTATGAGTCCTTCTCCTCGGACGCTGGCAGGATAATCCATATCTCCCACATCCAATGACGATGAAAAACCAAACCCCCCTGCCCTGGGGTGCAGTTGCCTAGGTGAACCCCTTGCAGCTGAACTTCCGCATTCAGAGGTGCTTCAGCTCAGCCTTTGGAAGGAACACCATGAGCCAATGTGAGCCAGCTGAGACTCTCGTGGACTCCTTGAATCGATCGAGGTAAACGAAATGGGCCAGTTGAGAGGCCGAGAGTAGTGCTATAGAACATATTTAATATATCATAATATATAACAGTCAGGCTAATTACTCAGGTTGAATGTTCCGCCGCCTCCAAAAGCATCAATCATCAATCCATATCAATCCAGGTGCCATGCTCCTGCTGTGAACCCCTTGAGAAGCCATTTTTGAATTGCAGGCTCTCCCAATGTTTGAGATGCACAACGAGGTAACTGCGCCAAACCCCAAAGGCCCGAACTCGCTGATCATCTCAGCTGAGGCACCAATTGCGAGAGGAGACCTTCATGGAGATCCAAGGCCACCTCAGCGAGGCGCCGTCGATCGGTCCCCGTAATGGGCGCTGCTGAATCGTTGTTGGCCGAACCGGGGGAGAAAATTGCTGGGGACCACTGGGCCCACACTGAGAGTCGGACATGTGCTTGTTGCCTTTCCCAGATTCCTTTGACAGTCTCCGTCAACCCCCACAGTCGTGCTCAACGCTGGCATGCTATGCCCAAATTGGAGCAGCTCGCAGGTCGCCTTGTTTTTGGCCCCTGGCGCGTTGCTGGAAACCCAGCTGCCCAAATTGCAAAGGTTCAGAAATGGTTTTAACCCATGCAGGGCTGCTCAAGCGTCGCTCGCTGTAACTTAGGGATTGATTAGTGGATTAGTTATTGGTTACCTAGTTACCTATGGTTACCTATTCAGGGAATGTTGTCTCCCGCAACTGCAACTGATTCTTGCGAAGGTAGCCTGCGCTTGGTACCTTTTTTTGCAAGGATGATGGCGAATGGGGGCAATAGAATCGTCTCGACACCATACAGTTGACTTGCTTAGTGTTTCAGTGTTTCTCCTAGTTCGCAGGCGACGTTGGAGGAAGAACTTTGTCTCAACTTCGAACCAAACTCACCTGGAGTTGGACCCCCCCCCCGGGCCACGAGATTCTGAGGCAGATCCTCATGGCCACGAGATCTGCGTTTTCTTGGAACCACTGGCATACCTTGCACGGGCGGGTTTGGAGGGCAGGTGTGACACGGTGTGTGTTCGCTCGGCTGGGAGGCCGAGCGAGATTGTCAAGAAGTGGCATTGGCATTGCAATCCGAACCAGGCCAAGAGAAAATCCCAGATCAAGCAAGGACGCTAGGAGCGATTGGACGCTACGAACGGGGCTCCTGGCCGTACTACTAGGAAGCTACTAGGGGCTCCTAAGCACATTTGCAACAGCTGGGTTCTGTGTTGGACAGCTTCAGTTTGGTGACGCGAGGGCGCTTTTTTGGAACGGACCTGCCAGGAGCAAGGAGGACGACGGGCAGCTGGGAGGGGTGCAGCAAGGTGGGACGGTGCCTTTTAGCCTTTTAGACTCTTAGGGTGCTGACACAGCTGGGCTGAATGAGCCAGGTAGTTTGGCGATTCGGCCTGGAACATCCAGGGAGGGAGGGAGGGAAGGAGGGAGGGAGGGGAGAGAGAGAGAGAGAGGCTCAGCCATGTTCTTCCCACCAGGTTTAATTACCTTCCCACGGGGCGCACCTTTCCAGGACAAGAGTCCGAAGGAAGGATCAGCCAGCAGGGCGCTCAAGTCTCCAGATGCGACCTGCCACAGCTGTGTTGCCAGGAGTGCTTGGGCTGGGTCTTCTCTACGTTCCTTACAGTACCTGAATTGAACCTTCCCAATCGGTAGCTGTTTAGGCTAAACCGTGTTTGGGCGCTGGGGTTGGTTGGCCCTTTCTATGTTTTGAACCTATGAGTTATGAATCTGGAGATTTGGTCTTTTCTCTAAATTGGGAGCATGTTTTTAACGCACTAGAAGATGCTGAATTTATCTGTCCGGATGACAAGTTCTGCACATTTGATGTCCGGATAGAGCATGTGTCCAAACTGGCTGGAAATGAGCACAATGAGCAGGGGCTTGGCGTTGCAGGTGGTACAGAAGTTGGAAAATGTCACTAACCCCCGAACGACCATTTTCATCCTTTTTCATTGGTTTCAGAGAACCTTCGATGCACGGCATGCACGGCATGGTCAAGTTCCACTCATTCAAATCAACTCCTTTCACTATGCCATGGGTCCTTGAAAGTGTATATTTTTGATGCAGGGCCTCCTAATTGGGGCCGTCATCGTTATTTGAGCCCGTCGTCTTCAAGTCAATACAGTACAAGACCGGCTTGGCTTGACAGGAGAGTTGTAAGAAGTTACTTTGACTAGGACAGATTGCATCTTTGCCATTGTCAAAGTGACTTGGTGTCAAAACAAGTTTAAATCCTGGTGTGTTCGCTCTGATGAAAAGCACCATGCGCTGCCATGGATGCGCCCCAATGGGTTCGATCACAGAGTGCCCCAGCATGGCCGCGCTTCGGGCACTGCGCTGGTGGACCCTCGGGCAATCACACAGAAGTGCAACAATTGTGAGGACTTTTGCAATGCAGCCGGAGAGGTGATGAATATGATTACAGTACATATAATGATTATATATAATGAGCCCACGATGTTTGCCGTCACAGGGCTCGGATATGGAGAGATTGGGAACTGTCGAGGAGATAAGGAAGACAGCTACAAAGGAGCTGTTGCGTGATCGCCTGTGAGCTCGAGAATAGCCCAGCTGAGTATGTCTGCAGTACACTCGGTTGGTCCAGTCTCATGTACGGAGTCCGTTTCAGCCTTGCTCATTCAGACGTGTGTGGCCAGAAGTGCCGACTTGCCCAGTTTCGACTGCTCAAAAAGAGATACGAAGCAGCTTGTGGGTTTTCAAGTTTTGCAGCTTAAACTTGCCCCTGAGTTTGATGGTCTGTTGTCTTTGAGCTTTCATCTTCTCCATCCGATCAACCACCGCCAGAAATCTGCTAGCCATCCAGCTGTCAACTGGGACCCACACCATCGCACAGAAGCGTGCGGCGCCGGGCGCGGCACCGCCCCCATCGGTTGGTGCCCATGCTGGCGACCGCCTCGATGATGCAAGCGCCCATCAACATGGAGAAGAACAGCATCTCGGAAAACGTGCCTCGGTGGAGTCGACGGTGAGAACAGATAAAAAAGGGAAATGGACGGTCCTGGAGTTTTTTTGAATGGTTTGAATGGTTCGTGTTTGCTGTAAGCCGTGATGAGATGTGAGGAGGCCAATCTGCACTGTTTGAAAGGAGAGGGGCAGAGGGTGAGGGTGAACAGCACTCTGTGAGGCTGATGGGCGTCGTGCCCAAAGTGAACGCTCAGTGCTACAAGAACTATTATATAGGTGTTCATCATGATTCATCAATCAATTGTTCATTAAGTTAAGTATTAAACTTACATGTCATGTCAGTGGCCGGTGCTCTCTTGTATTCAGGGCTCCAAGTAACAGACAGATCCAACCATTTCGATGGGAGGACAGACGGCAGGCAGCTGCCTGTTTCCAGCATTGGACCCTTTGAGAAACTGCCCTTCACGAAGTGATCTGAGATGCCTTGAGACTTGAGATATGCTTCAAAGACATCAAAGATCATCATAATGTCATAGATTACACTTTCACACGCATTAGATATAGTCATTGCGTGTTCCATTGGGGGCATCCAATATCCCAACATGGGAACCCACCGGGGGTGAGACTGTGAGACCATCGCCTCCACCGACTCAGCATCGCCTCCACCGTCGCCTCGGCAGGAAGGCCCCTTCTCCACGCGTCGGACGTCCACGGAGCCCGTCACCTTCAAAGAGTTGCTCGTGACTTGGCAGAGCTGCAAGCTCCGGGTCACTGCCATTGGCCCTTTCCAACCTGCAGCTGCAAGCAAGCTGCAAGCAAGCTGCAAGCAAGCTGCAAGCAAGCTGCAGGTTGCTTGATGCTTTTTTTCCTTTGGTCTCAGCAAGATGGAACCAATGCGATACATGGGACGTAGAGATTAGACGAAATTAGAGGTTGTATGACATGTTTTTTTCATGAAGCATATTTATGAATCACGTATTATACCATAGTATCACATAATCCTTTCCGGCGTGAGGGAACATGAACAGTAGACAGCATTGCAACACAGAAGAACTGGGGTATCTCAAGTGCTGGGCCCCAGTGCTAGTATCACTGATGACGTTGTTTTAGGTTTTTGACCGAAAAACAGAAAACACACACAGACCTTGTGCCATTCTTCAGCACCAGACCACGCGCCGTCTAAGAAACCGAGGCGGCGCTGGCCACGTGTCACGAAGCGGAGGTCGAGACGCTGCAACTTGGAGGAAAAACGTCCGATGTGGAATGGAACGGTGGACGGAGACCCGGTGGGCACTGGCACCGGGTGTTTGGAGCCTTCCAAGGGAGGCGTCAAGGTGACCATTCCCCACTGCCTGAGATTCTACGAGGCATGCCTGACCAAGCCAGCTGTGCGGACTCATTGAACCCTTAGGACATCCCGTGGATGCCAAGGAATGGTGTCCAAAGAACCTTGTGATGCGCGTTCGTTGCCAGGCAGATGCGCATGGATCACTTGCAAGCAGAAAACCGGCTGTTGAGTATGAAGATGAAGCCACTCGGCATTTCGGAGTTATCAGACATGGGTCTACAGATGGGTAAAGAAAAGTGTTACTATCAGTGTTTCAACGGCTTGGGTAAACCACCGGCTTACCCAAAGAAGGGTCAATCAGCCGTGTTTCAGCTCGGACGATCGGTCCCACAGTCCCACGATCGGCGCGGTTCGCGATCGGTGTTGGCCGCGTGAGGCCCTCAGGCACTCAGTGTTTACTAGAAATGACCATCAGGGCTGCTTGCCATCCTAATGTAGTCCCACACTTCGATTTTGTTAAGCCTTCCAGGACTAGATTCCAGCAAAGATATGGCCGTTTCTGGGAACCAATTGCGCTTTGTGTTATTCAGCGATCTCCCCCTCATAGCAATGGCCTCCAACCCATTTTCCTATCCGCGCGGAATCCATCGCGCGCTGGGTTTTCCGATCTCGTCAGGGACAGAACCGGTCTACGTGGCACTCGTGCGACGCGACGCACACAAAAGCCCCTTGGGCAGAAAGAGCTTGGCACCATGAAGCCGAAGGGATTCTGCGCATGTCAATGGATGTCATACACCCGGGAAGATTATATATATAACATATAGAACATCATAGAGATTTTAGATATCATAGAATCTGAAATGGGCCTGTGGAAAACTATGTCAACTCGGTTCCTTCAGTGGTTTTCAGGTTCCATGTCAATTCTTTCCGGGCGTATATGTTCTGTACTGCCTTAAGGCCTTCAGGGGTGAGAACCCAGCACATGCAGTTGTCAACTTGCCGCAAGGGGATGAAGGTTGGGTTCGATGTCAGCAGGCTTCATGCCAGCTGCGACCCATGGCGGTGACCCATGGCAGTTGCACGCAGTCAGGTCAAAAGGTGTAGAAACTTGGGACATCCAGAGAAGCAAGCATAGGAAGTAGTATGAAGTAATCGTAGGAGTCCAACAAGCCTGTTTTGTGGGAGAGTGGGGAGGAGTTGGAAGCTCAGTCCACACCCTTTGGCTGGATCCTAGGTCAGTGATCGCCAGCAAGACCGATGCAGAAGAGGCCTCGCGGAGCAAAGGCAAAGGTGTTTATCCATTGGAGTGCATAGAGGTTGTTTCATGTGGCTTCGCAGGTGGAAGTTGGATACGATAGAATAAGGATACCCTTTGATCAGTGGGTTTTGGCTGACATGTCCTTTGGAGGTCTTCTGTTTTCAAGACTTTTCAAGACCCAATATATAATAAACAACCATGGGATCTGCAGACGGTGGGTCTTCCCTTTTTGATCATCGCCCGAAGACAGGTTGTTGATCGCTGCTATGGCATGCTATGGCTTGCCACTTTCCGCTTGGACTTGTAGCTTTTATTTGTAGAAGATACAGGTAATGCCCCAGGCTATGTTTTCTAGGCTGCATCTTCGTTGCACACAATGTAAAGGCCCGAACACCACGACATAGTAAGCCGAGTCGCAGTTCATCAATGGACTTTTTGGAGATGAACATTATAATCCACGGGTATATTTGGTGAGCAGAAGGTCTGAATATTATACAACAAACATCGACCAACACACATTTACATTTATCATACATTCATACACATCACTGGTCACTTGTTTCGGACTCTAGAACCTCAAGGGCGCCGGAGAAGGCGCCCATGAAGAAAACGACCTGGGCCTGTTGACGTCCTTTCGGTCCCCGACAACGCGGTGCGTAAGCGGTGCGTATAGCGGTGGGCGCGAGGGAGAGGTGGAGCCAGAGATCGCCTTTGTGAACCCCACTGTGAGCCTTCCGGCGGCCGAGTTCACCAGAAATACGACTGTGCCTTGGGAGGGCGGGGGTCAGAATCGAGGGAGGGAGAGAGATGGAGAGAGATTTGGGATGAGATCTGAAGAATTCGAGGGAACTCCACCGATTTGATTTGTGACATGTGAGACTTACAGATCCCTCTTAATTCGATTTGGCGCATCTTTTAGAGCCGTCCCGGCCACTTGCGGCCGCTTCTCGTCCCAGGTGCGGATGAAAAGCCAGAGCGGTGTAGCGGAGCTGAGCGGTCTGAAGTCGCCCGTGGATGAGGGATCAATGGCAGTGCCACTGGAGAGGTCAGGGTTCGATTGGTGGAGGTGTGCATTCAGAGACCGTCCCCCTTGGGCGTGCTTTGGCCCAAACAAACGGGCTTTCGATGGTTTTAGTTTTTGTATGAAAAAGTCACATGTTAGATTATGTTAGATAATGTTAGTAGGTTTCTCTTTTTTTGGGGGGTTGTGGACTGATGGGGGAGATGAAGCTAAGCTAGCTTGAGCCAAGCATCTCCGAGATCCATTTCATGACAGTTTCGGAGACTGTTAGTTTGAGAGACGTAGGGTTGTGCTACGACTCCCTGCCCCATGGAACTGGGGTTGCCATGGAATCCTCGAATGGGGTTGTGCCGCCATGATTGAAAGGAATACGCCACATGCACAACACTTCTGCCCGTGTGACTGTCATGTCACGCAATGACCAATCTATGCCCTGCACATATGTGACTTTCAATGTGTTGTCAGCATATTTCAGCTACCCAAGTTGGTGTTTCGCACAGCTTAGACACTGGTTGATTGTCAAGGTGTGTAAGAGAAGACACGACCCAGTGCAGATAAGAGAGATGACCTCCTACCCAGTGACATTCGTCAGCCCTTTGCCGCCGCCTGTCAGGCCTTCAAAAAATTCAAAATCTGAAGAGAGGCGACGAGGGGGAAACACCTGGAGACCAGATTTGGGTGGAACGACTCTTTGCCAGTTCAAACTTGAATATTACTCATCGGATAAAATTGCACACCATTTCAGGGGTAAACAATAGGATGTTTCAGTTCAATAGGGTTTGTTTCTTTGCATGTTTGAAACGGTTGGACTTTCTTTATATTATATAATTGATGTTCCTTTCTTTGATAGAAACATTTTTCCCTTTTTTGCCACCAGTAATATGCAGCTGGTTAAGTCTGGTGGGAACTGGCCCGGCCAAGAGCGGAGCGTGAATGAACTTTATATATGCAACCTGATTCATGAAGCAAAGGCCAGTAGGTTGCGTAGGGTCGTCCAAGATGGAACTTGAGATGTTAAAGCATGTTTACAACGTCTGAGGAAGCAAATGGTTTTGTGCAGAGATGTGTAGAGTGAAAACCCCTTTTCAGAGCCTTTCGTTCTCATCCTGTCGCCCCAGGAGTCAGGCGGGTGAAGGCACGGTGGGAGAATTTGGAGTCGACCGCATCTTCAGTGTTTCACAGGGATTGCTACTAGTAACAAGTGCCACGCTAGTAGTAACAGGTGCCTTACTAGTAGTAACAAGAAGCTATTGCATGCCCAAATGTCCCAAAAGCCCACGCTTCGGTGGCGCACCATTGAGGGACTTCAGTTGATGACCTCAGATGAAGGGATCACTTGCCAGCCCTTGGCTGACTAGAATGAACAATTTGGTTGCCATCATCACTTAGTGCGGGCACGTAGTAGGCCTGCAGGTGCGTAATGTAGACTCTTGATTAATAAAGCACCCCATTTGAATGCACGGACTTGCGGGCAACGTGCGGCTCGCCCCCACTCTATCCCTTGCCGGGTTGTCCAGCGGGTTTAGGTAGGGCAGTACTGGGTGAGACCCGAACAACCGATCTGGAGGTACCTACATGTAAAGATCACTGTACAAGAACCGGGCATCTACGAAGGCATGAAGTTGGAGGGGGTTGACATGGTCACCAAATTCCTAATTTAGGCACCGGCACGGTGCATTGGATCCAGATGGTCATTTGGACAGGCAATGGCAATTAATTCATGAGGCCTCTGGATGTTGCATACTATCAAATGGCTTGCCCGAAAAAGGGCGTATCGAACATGTTGGATAAACGAGTCTTGCTTGGCTTTAGATACTTCTGGTAAAGCCGGCCATTCACAAGGTTGCGCGCCTGCCGGTAAGACAGGAGGCAAAATTTCTGTATGGTATGGCGGATCATGTGGCATGGTGCGAAGCATTTGTTGAATGTAAACATATGCGAAGCATTTGCGTTTGGCAAAGTTGGTCGTCGAGCAATTCCCCCTTCATGGTAGGAGGTAAAACCCAGCCGTGTCAAACTTGTTGTACCCTGCTTTTTGTAAGATGGCATAATTTTGGTGCGAGAAACAGTATGTATATGCTTAACTATCCAACGGAAAGTTCTCTGCTAAAACTCGCAATGACTTGGCCTTGACGGGTAGAAGAAGTACTTGGGGGTCATCATATTGCAAGGTGGTGTAGCCTTTACCATCTTTAAAACAAATTTGGTAACATCTTTTGGGACCAGTGCATAAAGGAAAGGAAATGGCCAATTCTGTCCAAGAAATACCTGGGTCCCCTGGTGTGGCAGGGGCGCTGGGTTCTGGCCAAATGAGGCTATTACAAATTTCCAGATCATGTATGTGAGATTGGCCCCCCAGCTGCTACACCAAAAAACAACCCGTTGTGGCTCATCTGGCAAAACAAATGCATCGCCCAGAACTCGCCATTGCCTGAGGCGGTGAATTTGTAATTGTGTGGGGTCTGAGACCTGCTGGTGCTCCTGACGACTTTTTGTCTGAGGCGGTGAATTTGTAATTGTGTGGGGTCTGAGACCTGCTGGTGCTCCTGACGACTTTTTGTCTGAGGCGGTGAATTTGTAATTGTGTGGGGTCTGAGACCTGCTGGTGCTCCTGACGACTTTCTGGGGTGCTGCTTACTGGTTTCTTGGCACTTTCCATACGTGTGTAAGCAATGTCTAAAAAGTATTGGTATATCAGAGAAAATGTCCTGGGACTTATTCCAATGCGCTCGCACTTCCAAACACAAATTGTTAAATTCGTGATCATCAGCACGTCGCACCAGTGCGGCGGCACGGTCCATGTCATTTCCCCGGAGATGCCATGCCTCGGAGGCATTACGTGCTGTGGTAATATCCCTACGTGAGGCAATTTTAACGATCTGGAATCTGGATGGATCCCACAGATCTGCTAGTCGCTTAATCAAGTCCCAATGGCCCAATGTGCACTCTTATGTGGTGTTTGCTGATATGTGCCTTGCACAATATGCGTCACCTGGTTGGCGACGAATTGGGAATCTGTAACAAAGGTGACTTTGGCTGTGGTTGAGGTGCACATTATCTGCTGGACGGCTATTAAAAGGGCATATAATTCGGTTTGGGTCACTGGTACGCAGCACTGCTGCCCAGGCCGCCCTTGCTGTATATGGGTCTCGAGTGTTACCACAGGTGCCATCTGGGGGGGGTATTAATCAAGAGTCTATATATATATATATATATTTATTACTTGGTGACAGCTGGTTTTGACGATGTGCATGTGCGAAGGGAAAGCTGCAGAACGTGCGAAGGGAAACTGGTTAGACCCTGAGTCGATTCCCAAAACCTCAACAAGAACCCATTGGGTCAGCCAGCTTGCAAAGGCTAGCAAAGCATCCACTTTGGCCCGGTGTTTATGCAACAACGGAACGGCATGAAGTGTAGCAAAGCCAACAACCATGAGGACAATGCGCACCAGTTGGAATCGCGAGAAGGCACTGTTTGCATTTGTTAGTTGGACCAATTCGATAACTACAACAAACAATTTGTTTGAGGATGCTTCATGCATTCGCAACCACATACAGGATAAACATGTATGTACAAACGATATGGCCTGGCCCGGGTTGTAATTGCTCTATGATCCCAACTGGTTGCACAAATCACTTGTTGGGCTTCCCAAGCTGCTACGTCTCTCCCTTCTAGGCGAAGAAATTGAGAATGAGGAGGAGGGGGCAGATGTTCACGCTCCAAAGTCCACTTACTATATCCGAGACGTTTGGATGAGAACCTCTTTGGGCCTCTTGGATTGAACTCCTGGGCCTAGAGTCTCTTCGAAGCCTTTTGGTCACCCAGGTGCAGGTAGGCTCTAAATGTGCACATGATTCAACTGGACACCATTGGGCGGTTATTCAGTAAGTGGCCACCAGGTGCTTTACTTGTTTGATTTGCCAAGCTTTCACAGGCCAGTACGAGTCGAGCTCTGCGCTTATCACTCAGCTACTCAGGAAAGACGAGATCCCAACAACAGGCGGGGATGGTGCGCACATGTGCGCACTGACCCATGGTGCTAAAAAGGAACTTACAGTACAGGGATGTACAGGGGATGGATTCCAATGTGTTGCTGCTCCTATCCTAGGTAGCTCAGAGAAAAGCTGTTGTCGTTTATGTATTTGTTGGCAATGAATTGACACGTTGAAAGGATATTTTTAATGGTAGTATTATATATAGTTATATCAAATTATATATATATATATATTTAGATCCGTTTAGCCAAAAGTTGAAGTTGTTTCCAGAACAGTTATACTTGAGGGATTTGCCCCGCTGTAGGGAAAGCAAGCTTCACCCCACAGCCACTTCCATTCGTAGTCCTGCCGTTGCGGTTGCAGGTGGCCGCGTTGCAGAGGTCGCAGACCATGGATCGCCGCTTCGGCCTAGCGTGGGCCATCGCGGCGATCCCCCCTCTAAGAAACAACAAGAAGGTGCCCATAACAAAAAGAACGTTTGGTTTCCAAGACAGGGGAGAGGTTTATCATGCTTGATCTATGCCTAGGCCGGCTTCGTTGTTTGAGTCAATCCTCGGCCGCGACTGGCGGGTGGCGACCTGTTTGGCGATTGACCCTGAAAAATCCTGTTCGGAGTGTTTGGGGCGGGATCATCCCAGACCAACCGACCAACCGACCCAGAAATCGATCCATCTCACGAATTGTTGCGATGCCGACCGCGGGTCGCGATGATCGTCCTTGGAGAAGGATTGTCGAGATGAAATTTGTCGTTTTCCCTTTGCTTCATGGATGCCGACACCCCAAGTATGCACCAAGAAGATGGATGACAAAGATTGGCTGAATTTGCTTCCTCCTTATCCAGTTCCAGTTCCTTCGTACTTCACAACTCGACGGGTGAATCACCTTGAATCCTTCGCAAGGTATGGAGAATAAACGCTCCAGCATCGCGGAGGAGGATACGGAGATCGTTGGATTGATGCTGGGCCGAATATTCGATTGGTGTGTGACACTGTGTGACTGCTTGGAAGTGAATCACAGATGATGGTTATCATATCCTTGCTTTGCATGTGAATGGTGTTTTTGGTCGTTCGATGTCGTTGTTTGTTTTTTGTTCTCCCGTGCCGGTGTTCTCACCGTCCGTATGGACGCCTAATTCGGGTGAGCCTCAGGAGCAATGGCATGTGGAAGCACATCATTGGAAGCCCGACCAGTCCGAAGAGGATGATCTGGGATGCCATCGGCGGCGTCATGATCCTTTGGGAAGCTTGGCCAGCCGGAGTACGACCAGCCAGCCTTGAAGAGAAAGGATGTGCAACTGCAAAATTGCAGATGGAGCCGTGAAACTAGATGGTTGCAGGTGGAGCCCAGTGTTAGAAAAACATAAAAATACTATATACATAGCAAAACAGTTAACACATACATTCATTATCATGCATTCAAAATATGTTGCGTCTATAGTTCCACATACATGGTTCTGTGAATCATGACCTGTCCTTCCACCCTTCCAGTGATTTGAGCATGGAAACAGGTGAGCGCTGACTGGCTGTGCTTGCAAGAAATCACTTCCATAGCTGATTGCGTTTAAAGGTGATTATGATTTACTCCCCTGCAGGTTAACATGACCCCAAAACCACTGGGTTGTAGAGGAAAAGGGTCTTCCACCGGTCAATTCTCAGGTTCCATGTTCGTTTGCTGTCGGGTATGCCTCTGTTTATTTGGGCATTTTGTTGGGGCGTAGTGTGGGCATGTAGGAGCTGCAATCATTTGCAGCTTCTCTTCCGCTTGAGCCTGCGAGGATATTGTGGCACTGCCACTCATGGTGTTCGATGAGGTGGATGGACCCTTTACAGATGCCTTAGGCATGATAGGCTTGTCGCATCTCGGCTTCTCCTGCTGCATGGAGTGGGGGCCTGGGGGCGGCCACCCCGGCGGTTGCAACAGGACCAGAGGCTTCCAACATCGCAGCATTGTGGGATGCTCCTATTTGGTGTTGTTCTCGCAATGCCTGCCTGCTTCCCTTCCACCTGGCACAGGATGAACCTACCCTGGTGAGATGTAGAGGGTTCAAGACGCCGATAGATGTTGGCCACTATGGCGCGACTGCAAGGTTCTAGCACGGTCTTCCTGTAGCAGGCTGCGTTTGAGCTTCACCACTGCCTATGTGGTTCCTGTCGCACGGACTGGAACCCATTGTTGTATTGTTGTCTTGAGACCCTCCCACCGCTCGGATCTATTTGTTCATTTCTCAGCTGAGGTATTGGACATTAAATGTGGGTAATACGCCACTTGGTCGCTGTCGCATGCGGAATCCAGCGTGCGGCAACTTCAGCAGGGCGGCGCCTATAGCATCCCATCACAACTGGTCACTGGTAACACGTAAGAACCACACAAGGGGGATGGTGAATCGATGTGAATCTCTTTTTTGGCCCATACTCCAACAGCTCTTTCTGGATGGAGATCTTGGTGGAAAAGATTCTGAGAGTTGATGGAAAATCGAGCTCGGTTACTTCTTCATGGGGAGGTTCTATGCTGCCTTTACATAGCGGCATAGGCATGCAATATTGGGCGGAACCAGCTGCTGACGGCTAGAGTCTAGCTTCGTGTAGATACTTTACACCGCTTTGAAATGTCTATGCTTTGATATAGTGGGCTGATCTGCGGGTTGTTCGTTGCGTCCTGCCGTGGTTTCCGATGTCAAGCAGTAGATTCACAGAGAAACAACCACTGGATCTCAGCTCTAGCCCTCACAAGGCATCTGGATCTTTTGACATGCTTCCTGAAGCTTTTTTTGCTTTCGAAGCCCTCGGGAACTTCCCATTTTGTGGCTGTGCCCATGCCTCGGCTGCCGCCAAAGCCCAGGCTCACGTGTGGCTACTTGCACAACGGGGTCACCATCATGAGCCCGGGAGCCACAGATGTTGCAGCACATCTATCCAGCCAAAGAAGGGGAAGTGGAAGACCTTTGGGAAGACCATCTTGTTAACTTAATTTTACGCTTCCATATGTGTGTAATATGTGTGATTATGTTTGTGTGTGGATGGAGGATATGCAAGTCCCGACGCTTGTGAGCCATTGTAATAGATAGAACTTAGTTTGTCGTGAGGGATGGGCGTTCGATTGATCAACTTCCAAAGCTGGAACCGAGCCGATTCGCCACATGGAGGCCACAAGCCACGGTGGCCATCCCAGGGTTGGCCATCGTCTCATAGATCTGTTGAGCAATTCCTCCTCTCAAGCAGCTTAGGGACTTGCTCAAGTCTTCTCCTACAAGGCACTTCCTGCTCGTCCTGCTTGGGACGTCTCGTGACACACATGACTAGACACCGTGACATATATGGGAAAGTCCGGCGGATTCCGATTCCGGGATCCGTTCTGCTGAGGTCCATGGGCCATCTTCAAGAGGTATTTGACACGAGGAATCTTCCTTGACTTAGTCACCCTGGTGCCAGACGCAGGGCGGCGCATGAGATCGCGTCGCGCGATGCGGTTTGGAGGGCAGACATGGCCTACATGACTACATGGCTGAAGGGGGATAAGTATAGGTCAGGGACCCAGGGAAATTGGAAGGCGATGCGAGGATGTGTGTGGATATTTTGAGGCAGGCCTCAGAGGATATCATACTTGTCAAGTTGTCTAAGTGAAGATGGTGCTAAACTATTTTGATAAGAGGAAGCGGGGTTGGATGCGCACGATATTCTCACTGTATAGCTGCCACATTGTGGCAGCTCATGTCTAGAAGATGCTGGGGTTTCAGAGGTGAGAAGACCTGTGGGAAGACCATTTGAGGGAACCCTTGCGAAGCAGCAGACACATTTTACCGAGGGTGGTGAACAATGGCTGTTTAGATGATGTGGTATAATATAATAAGTGTAATACAGACTGTGCGGATTGGTTGCTACCATTTCTGAGCTGGGTCAGTCACGCGGCTCATGTGAGCCACGTTTTGCAGTGAGGACTGGGTCGTCACGTGCCTTGGAAGCATAAGGAACTTGGCTTCAGCAACGGCATAAACCAGCCCTGCCAGAGAGTGTATTGTCTACAATGTTGCTACCCAAATGTTCGCTATTTTGGATGTTTGGAGCATCAACTGGCTTACTGTAATAGGATTACAGCAACTTCGTGTCTTGATTGCTATTTTGGTGGTTGGCCAGAAATGCAAGGGACACTTGGTGTGCCACAGCCCTTGCCATTTTGCTTAGGAGTGGCACTTTGGGTTGTTTTCAATCACCGCTTTCCAAAACGGGAGGGTCTGCCGAACTCGGAGTTCGTTCCACTTCCAGACGGTCCTTTGCGATGCTTCTCGGACGGTCCTTCGGCGTGTTTGGGCCCCAGGATGATTTCCTTCTTATCCACCAACTCGGGCTTCCAAGAAGCCAGACTTCTGCATCTTGGCACTGCTCAAAAATCCTGAGATCAGGGGGTTGCTTCAACTAAAAGGTTCAACTCACTCACCTTGAAAGTCAACTGGTTGAAGGTCAAGAGTTCAACTCACCTTGGAGATTAATTGCTTCAAAGAAAAGGTTCCAGCTTCCTGAAGGTCAACTCTCCACCTTTTGTCACCTCTGACCCATCTCTTCGTTGCACGAAGCATCTCGACCGAGACCGTGAGTTTGATTTCACGCAGGGATGGTGAGTCGAGAATGGATCAGAATGGATATATGCAAATTCGTTGAGGATGGTTTGGATGATTTGGGTCGCCGGTCGGATTTGTTCGTCAAGCCAACTGTCTCACGGAGTTTGTGCGGACATTATCATACTGGTTTGGTCCACTGTGAGAAGATTTGGATCGACTTGGCTTTGGGAAAGCTCAATAGAAGCACAGTCGAAGCTACTACTGAGTTACTAGTACACGTTAATTGTATAGGTGAAAGTTAGTATCTCACTAGTACGGGCATCCATAGCAAGCCCTCTCCAAAAAAAAGAGGTGAAAGTAAGACTTACGACATGGCCAGGCCAGGACCATAAGATCCATTGCTTCCCAACTCGGATGCATTGGACCTTTTCTGCTCGTCCATCTCCCAATTCCAAGGCGTGCCTTGCGAGCCTTCCGGCTCACGCGCCGCTTGGGGCGCAAAAAAAACGGGAACTCGATACGGCCCATGGAGAACGGTGAGATGGCCTGGCAGTGTCCAGGGGTCCCTGGGGTCCTCCTGGGCATGGTCGCAAGATTTGAGACTAGTGCGTTGGCATCACTCTGGAAGAGAAACTGCTTGCCACAATTCCATCATACTCAACAAATCAGGTCAGGCGTTTTCCAGGGCTAGTGATATACCAGGTGTAGCTTGTTCATTTACAGACCTGCCGAGGAAATGAAGAAGCAACCATGGGGATGCACCGGGAAGTGCTGAGCTACCCCATCTCCTTTGCGGAACCGTTTTGAGGGGCCTTGCTGTATTTTGCTTGTGGGTTGGATCCATCGGGCAGCTGCGTTACACCGTGTTCGACGATCCATTCCTTCGGTCTGTCGAGGTTTGGTGCGGATCGTCAAGCTGCGGTGGCTCATGGAGGTTGTTCGAGCAGCTTGGACGAATGTGATGGAAGAGGAACATAGTGGAACACTGGAACTTCTACTGCTTGCTTTTGGGTGATGGCTGATTGAGGATTACTTGGACTCCGAGTATGCCAGCATTATGTGGCTTGGCATCGCAGATGTGGGAGTCCGGTGTTTTGGATGCCCTCAAACCAGAGTGACCGGAGTCTTCTATGACACTACTGCATCAGTTAAACTGCATCCATTCGAGCATTAGAGCAAGCAAATACTACCAGGGGCCCAGAAACCATCAAAAAACAAATTATCCCTAGCAAAAACCATGGTTTTTGTATGTGGAAACCTTTGTTCTTCATGGGTTTGAGGGCCGCTGGTATATTCTTTGACTCAGGATGCTAGTTGATGCGATTCGGAGAGTTGGGCACCAGGGCCATCCAAGCGAACTTAATCAGGCAAATGCCCATCATGACCTGCTCCATCATGACCCCAGCAGATCACATGTCCATCGGGGTTTGCGAACCCTTGTTTGGTTCAATTCGGGTCGTGCGCAGGAGAAACGCATCGACCAAGGGCCCTGGCGGTGACCCGCCAGGGTGCCATGGCTGTTCTTTCAGACACCTAGACCATTGGGTACCCCTTGACCATCCATTCTAGTCTAATGAGATCCCATGCTTGTTTGCTTTGAGGTTCGAAATCTCTAAGATGATGGGCTTGCTCCTGGTGATCAATCACGTGTTGGTACCTGGGCTGCTGCATGGGTTTGTAGACATTATTTTGGGGTATTATTCTTTATGAAATTGATAGAATTTCCTTCTGTGCCGGGCTCAGACTACAAGGCCTGGAAAGCAATCAATAATGTTTTCTCAAAAAAAAGGTACGATCAACAAAGAATCTATAGAATCTATGACATTACTCTGTATGAAGACAAAACACATGAGCGGCAGAGCTTGCCCCGCAACTTGGGCAGGTCGTGCCAATGTGCAAAATGACCGAATAGCCCTAAAGCTTTTGTGCTTATAAGAAGTGGAAGCAAAAATGGAAGGAAGGGGAATCATAGCGGATGAGTGTACTATATGTAGATGATGAGCGGAGATGTGATGTGAAGCAAGATAGTGAACAGATATTGTCATGAGCGAGTGCAAGAGTGAAAGAAAGGGGGTGAAAGTGCGTGAATGAAAGGCAGTGAAAGAAAGTGAATGAAATATAGGGACCCGGAGTGAAAGGGACTGAAAGGGAGTGAAAGGGAGTGAAATCCAGTGAACGTGAGTAAAGCTATTCAAAGCGAGAGACAGCAAGTGAAAGTGAGAGGTGTAAATTGAGGAGGTGGAAGGCTGACGGGACGCACAGTAGAAGTAGGAACCCTGGGCGACTGGCTCTGGATGAGGGAGGCTGTTCCGCGAATGTGGGCTAGTGGGGCCAGCAATCATTTCACAAAAAGTCAAGGATGGCGCTGCTGCTGACGACCAGCGAAAGCATCGAACAGCGAGATCAGGATCACAACGATCAAAGCCAAGAGTTGCGGTCACATTGGGCTTCAACATGTACCAACCTAAGGACCAAGGATTAAGTATGAGTATGCTACCCATAAACTATCACAATCATAAACTAATGGTTTGTCATCCACATGTCCCCAATTGATCCAAAAAGCACAAATTAAAGTTCCAAGGCCTGCGCTTGGTATGGCTTGCGTTTCGTGGGTGTGGAGCTCGGGTGGACCACATGGTGGACGGGCAATTTCCTGATCTACGACCCTGCTCGACCTCGGGACCAACAGGGGCCACTTGGCCCTTGGCGGGGCGAAGAAAGGAGTGGAACTCTTCAGAGTCTTTCGGCCCTTTCGGCCCTTTGGCGCCCTTTCGACCCTTGAGACCCGCAGTTTTTGATGTTGCCAGTCCTATGATGCAGAAGGTTTTCAAATGCATGCTCGACCCTCGTAGCCGCCCAACATGCAATTCAAGATCCACAACAACGGGTTCGTAAGGGATCAACCAGACTTCGAGGCGCCTCAGCAGCTCAGCACCTTGCAGCCTGGTCCAAACAAAGCACCCGACTGAGTAGCTGGCCCAGTGGCCACAGTGGTGAGGAGTCAACTTAAGCAGTCGTCCCCCTGATTCCCTACCAGGCTAAATCAATGGTCATGGTGGATTTCAAACATTTTAAACTCCAAGCTCCTTCCACCACGTGAAATGACTTATCTATGTTTATATTAATATACATCGTGTTTGACTCTCCGACATTGGAGGCCCAAGGTGGCTGATACGCATGACCACCCAGCTAGTTCGAACCACCTAGACAGTCCTGACTGAGGTGGGTCTACAGCTATCTCACCTGCTTGCACTGGAGCTTGTGCCAGTTCACACCTGCATCCATGGAAGTGCAGCCATTTGCCATAGATGTCGAGGTTTTATCAAACAGTGTTTGGCTGTATATAATTCTGATTTCACCTGCTGCAAGCCCAGTCAGCTTTTCCAAGAGTCTCATTTTAGGAATTCTTGGGGGCATGGAGTTTCCGCGGCACCGGCCTGTTCCATCTCAGGTCTATGTGGGTTTTGTTTGTTTAGACCGGAAGCCGAAGAAGCCGGACAACCGCTAGGCCAAGCGAAGAAGCCTTCCTTTGAAGAGGTAGACCAGTTTCTAGCAGTGGTGTTGATGAAAGGTCTTCAGCCTTGGAACCCTGGAAATCCATGAACAAAACCTCCCAGTTTGCGGAATTTCTTGGCCCGAAACTGCTCCCTGGAGCTTTGTACTGCAAACCCACTCAGCAGATCCAAGGCCTACGAATCCCCTGGAGCGCGGCTTCGCGGCCCTCACGGTGCTGTTCGCCTTGATCGCGCCTCGAAAGCCGGTGGAACAGTTTGGGCGTCAGTCAGTCAGAGTGTGAACGGTGTTCCTGGAAGGTCTCATCATCCCTTCTTAGGTCAGAGTGGAGGAGCTATTTGATATTATTTGAGTTGTTATTTGTTATTGTCCCGTCAGTATTGGAGTTTACGTCCTTGACTTTGATATCACTACCTCCGATTCTGTTGGGGGCTGGGCTGGGCATATTTGGGCATGGTCTTGTCATTGTGGAAAAAGGAGGGGTCAGCTGGTAACATGCCTTTTCAACAGTGGATAGCTCAAGTATGCATCTAATGTGTACACGCAGAGGCAGTTCTTGACTCTTGACTTCCACACGGGAACCATGGAAGAGCTCGTCTCCTGAGAGCCCAGCAGAGGGCGATCCAATCATCTCCACTGAGCCAGTCATCCTCTCAGGTGTTCTCTTACATTGATACTTGGCCGCACTTCAGTTTCCACTGTCTGACATACATTGACATTGGCTGCATTTTTACTCAGAAAGAAGCCAGACAGGCCAGTTTTGAGAGGTTTCTTCATATCCAGTTGCCTCATTGCTGCTGGAGAAGGCTCGAAAGAGACCCCCTTGCTCTTTGAGCTGCTGAACTCTCGGGACCCAATGTGAGGCGCCCCCTTCCACGGTCATTGGGATATAAAAGATATGCACTGATTGTTGATGCATCAGAGGTCACCTACCAGCAGCAACCAAAGGACTGTTACAGGATGGGACACGCGTGGTCAGGAGGGTCTATAAGCCACCCATTGGGCGGTGCCGGTAGGGTGTGGTAGGGTACGGTCGTGTAGGGTAGGGTAGGTAGGTGGGTAGGCTGTGTTGTGTTGTGTTGTGTTGTGGTATGTCATGTTATGTCAATATGTATGAAGTAATGCAATGCAATTGTAATGAATGTAATGTCTAAATATGTAATTTAACGCAGTACAATGTAATGATGTAACGTTCAGAAGTCATTGCAGTGTATGTAAATATGTAATGTATGTGCGTATGTAGTGTTATGTTGTGTATATATGTGTTATTGTATAATATTATGGTATGTGTTGTATCTATGTATTTGTTTATGCAAGCAATTAGGAAAATAATGCACGCATATATGCATGTATAATGTTGGTGTGTCAGTTGATATATATATACATCTATAAATATGTTTATATATCTGCGTGTGTGAGTAGGTGCCCCAAGTAGATGACGGAAACCCGGCTCAACGATTTGAAAGCTGGCTATCCGTTTCCTCAAGTCGCTGACTGCATGGCTGGTTGTTGATCTGTAATTTGCATCCATGATTTCATGAGTCAATTAGGATGTGAACAGATTTAGCACCCACTGTTACTGGGATCTCACCATAAGGTGGGCAGCATCACTGGCTCCTTGACACAGCTTCGGATGATGCTCCTTGGATGTTTGACCAGCAAGAATCGACTAGGCCTGGATGCAGTAGCAACAACAAGTCGCCAGATGTTGGCGAGAGATCCCCAAGTACCAGGAATTCACAGAGTTTTTCATTTAATTAACAGATCGGTTCAGGTGGTCAGGGCATGGATAAGTTGTGTCTTGCCTGCAGGCGGACAAGATGCAGCACCACCGAGGATCATCGGTGATGATCCTTGTGCATGGGTAACTTCCGACAGTCTCCGATGTCAGCTGAATTTCTCCATCTTCACCACTTTCGCTTCAAATCTGGAGCCCAAAGTTTCGCCCCCAACTGGCCCCAGCTTTTCACACCGGTTTAGCCCCGCGAAATCTCAGGTCAGAGACCATCACCCGAGAGACCTTGAAGCTCCGGCGCTTCCTGCGGCGGAACGCGGTGCCCATCGGTCTGTCGGGGAACCTGACCCGATGACCTGAGAGCGGGTGTGGCTGCGTGCGGCTGAGTTACACATATATAGTTGGCAGTTAGCCATCTAAAAAATGGTGTACATATAGACACGGACCAATGGATTGGTTTTAGTGAGTTGCGTTTTGGGCCCGGAATTTGCACATCACTGGTTTCTAGATGGTTTCCTGAGGCCAAAAAGCGGGCCAAGGACCTTGCCATTTTCCAGGGTGTGGAAAATCCTAAGATCCAGGTCTAGGGGTAACAAGTTCCACCTTCTTGGTGACCAAAGACCTGAGTTGTAGAGCACTAGCTCACCAAACTTCAGTGGTATACATCGAGCCAGGTGGGGCCTGCTGATGGGATCCATTCTATTTGTTTTGCGATCCATTTTCATGTCGGACTCTGGGAGCCCAGACGCCCCAACTAGTCCTTTGCTGGACTTTTGTTTGGGATGGGTGAAGGAGCTGTTATTGGGCAACTAGGCAGCTGGGCTGTGTTGAGTTGTCGATTTTGCAACTAGGCCGAATCGGAGGTAGAGTTTGTGAAACATACAACATTGCTTTCTTCATGGCATACCATCCCTCCGAAAAGGAGTCAGAGTCAGAGCCATCTATGTTCTTGGAAGTCGTTGTTGCACCAAGTCCTGGATTCGCATGAGGCCCTTCCACATCTAAAGCATTGCAAGGCCCACAGCAAGTTGCGCACACTGGGGGAAGCATGCCCAACAGTTACATCATGTTACATCTTTTCTCGGCGAGAGGCATTTCGCCTGCCGGGGCCATCCCCGTGACCGGCGCCCTCTTGGCTCTCTCGGCCAAGATCTCGGTCAGGTCGCTGCGCATCCGACGCTTCGTGGAATTCGAGCTGAAGCGCCGCCAGCAGCCACTTGGAGCACCATGCGTTGGAGCACCGTAGGTGGTGCAGGATGTTGTGAAGGATGGCTGCTTGGAAGGGGTGTTGGATGTTCATGGATGTTTGTAAAAAGTTTAAAAAGCTGGGGAGAACAAAGCTGAGTGGCAATGCTCATGCCACTTGTTTGGTCGGGCCAAAGGCAGTGAAGCCAAGCAAAGGGTACTGTTTTGCTGGAACAGCTCAACAGCCACGTAAAGAAACGCAGGAAGGACTTACGAGTTGACGTGTTGCACGTGGTATATCATGGTATACATAGCATTGTATAACCGTCATATTGCTTTGGGTTCTCTCATTTTCAACCGCCGAAGACTGTAATGGAGCAACCTGCGACCTCAGTGAGATGTGGACATTCGCCATGCGACCTCAGCGGATGCCGCGCACTGTCGCAAGCACCAAAGGCCGGTGAACCACCAGAGCGTGGGGTGCCTCGCAGTTCCTCAGATGGAGTCACTTCGGGCGCGAACCGAGTCTCACTTCGGGTGGCTGTGAGTGTGGGTGGGGAGGGCAGGGCGTGAGTGATGTGCTTTGACGACACGGACCGACACCGTGTCGTGCCAGGGTGAGCCTCGCGGCCCCTCCGACTCGCTTGAAAGTGGACATGTGCCCTTGAAAATCCCTTCGATGATCTTGGATGATGATTTTCCTCTACGAAGAGGGTGGTTTCGACTCCCATGCCAGTGAGTTGGAGTAGAACTTAATTCATTAATGAATTAGTTATAATTAGAGCTAATCAACAATGAATTAGGAATCAAAAGTAATTGAATTAGAAGACATTCACAAATTAATACATAAAAGAAATATGATTGGTTCAATATTTTTAAAATTACTAAACGATGAATTGCATAGACATTATTGTAGAAGATGTTTTTTTAAGCGCATAACCGAGCAATCAGGTAGACACTATTCCAGGGGTAGATATTATTAAAACCATAAAATTCGTAGACAAGGAGGTGTCTTAATTATAATATAAAACACCTCAACAAAGACATTATTGCAGGGGGTGAGATTGATCTAGAACTTATTTTTGTATTTTTTTGCATTTTTTTTCGGATGGTTTTGATTGTTGTTTTACTTGTTTTTCGGATTTTTTTGTAGACATAAACCCGGGGGGGGGTTTAATAATCCAACAAAAAACGTGTAGACATAAATCCGGGGGGGGTTACTAATTAAGATTGAACATTAGCTGATTTTTAGGTTGGTTTCTTCTGGTCGTGCGACATTGAATCTGTAGAGGCCAAGCGTTGAGCCCTAACATGGCATCATCTCCATGACCCACGCTCGGCATGGGTCGTGGAACACCCGTCCCTTGTGTTCAGCTCAAGCCCCCGGCCACTTGAGCATCGGATCTTCTTTTGCATTTCGTCCATCAAAAAAGTCCAGAGAGAGTCATGAAACCCCATGAAATACAAACCAGGGGCCCCAGACACTACCAAAAACCTGATGTTACCTATTTTGTATGTGAAAACCTTTGCTTTTTCATGGGTTTGACGACCACTGTCGTATGAAATGTTCGTTTCTCGGTCGTGTCGAAGGAGACTTGCGTGACGCCAACGCTTCTCACACACGAACGAGACATGCGCAGCGGAGTTGAGGTCTTGTCCGAGCAGCTGCAGGTGGAATTAAGCAGCCCGGCCTGAACACGAGCAGATGTTCAAGAGCAGCGACACCTGGGCAGGTGCTAGTGAAGACAAGAAATTGCTCCCGGTAGAGCATGGAACCTGCAGAAGCATGCTTTGAGCATGCATGGAAGAGCACATGTGCCGGTCATTCTTCGCTTTTTGTGTCCGTAATCACGTGACACAAGCTCACGGTGATTTTTTGAGATGATGATATAGACCCCCAAAAATACTTTAAATAGATAGAAACGTAGATCCCAGCTAAAATGTATTGGAAACTGTTCCTATCTATTTGGGGGCCACTATGTTTGATATATAAACATATTACAGTAAACAAACAATGATAATATCTTGAGTGTGGTGTGTCCCATTACAGTACCCGTAACAGTAGGCAAACAAACGCCTTTACAGAAATTGCCTTTACTCATCATTATCATAGTCATCGTCGTCGTCGTCATCGTCGTCGTCGTCATCATCATCATATTCATATTCATATTTACATTCATCATTCATCATGCATTATGCATCCATCATCATCATCATCATCATCATCATCATCATCATCATCATCATCATCATCCACCGCTACTGGTAATAGGATATACCCAAAGAAGCTCTTCCCTTTCCAAGCCACAGTTTTTCAGATTCCATGCGTAGATCATCCGTGTTGTATCCTTGCCTTTGGTACCGTGAAGTTTTGGGTTCAAAGGGGTTGCTGTTGTATCCCACCCACCCTTCCAAGATGTTGGATTCGGGCCCAGGCTTTGCCTTGGTCCAGCCAACGCACCGCGGCGGCATTGTTCAATAGAAATCGCTGGGTCCAGGGGTGGAAGTCGAAGAAGAGATGCCCAGAGAACGCTGCAATGGCACCCCCAATCAAGAAATCTCCCCCAGAAGAGGGGGTTGTTGATTTTGACGTTCACGAATGGTTCACTCCGTTGGCCGAACTTCATAAGATAGGTCCACTGCGAGTGAAGCTGCCGTGCAATGCGTTTGGCTGTTTTCTTGCGAAGGCAGTTGTACTCGTATCAGAGCCGCAGCCGCCACTGTGTTACCAAGCCTGTCACTGGCCTCATTTTGTTTCACTTGGCCCAGGCTAAACACCCACGCCCTCTTTGAAGGGCTGATGAAAAGCACTGGAGGGCTTTTGCTGCTGGAGAAAGCCAGCCAGGCCCTGAAAGCAGGATATCGGGATACTAACTTCCCCTGCACCAGTATGCTGGCCACAGGAAGATCAGGAAAATCTCAATATACTTAGTTCTCAGTCAGCGAAACCCAAAATAGATCGAAATAGAAACATCCAGAGCAGCATGAAACCAACAGCATGGTATCAAGCAAAGCGCAACCTTTTTTGGTGCCACGGTAGGCCGGTATGCCTCCAAACAGCAGTCGTGGACTCCACCAATCGCGGGGGTTTTGGCTTGTAGAAGTCTTCCTGCAACAAACATGGAAGTGGACAAGATTCTGTTGGTAGAGTTTTTCCCTTCAATGGGCTGTTTTCAACTTTCATGGGGTTTGTTTGCTGGGAGGATCTGGGAGGATATGTTTACTACAGTATTTGATTGACCCTTTCTACTGCCAAGGTGAATCCGAGGTGTATGACATGAGGTTGCACGGAGTGGCTTACAATGGCCACAGATAGTTTTCAACCCATTTTTGATTCACTTGATTGCATGGCAACCTGCAGTTATAGAGTAATGAAAGCCACACTCAAACTGAGGACATGTGTTTGTTCAATCCTTTGTTCAACATGTGTTTGAACAACCCCCTTGCTGTTCAATCCTCAGTCATGTTGATTGCAGCTCGTTCAATCCCGCAGTCCTTCGAGAAGAAGACCCTGGCAATGGATGATTGGGACTCCTGGCTGCCGGAAGCAGGTGAAGATGTTCTGGTTAGATTGCAGCTGAATATTCAGGAATGGCTGGGCAATTGGCGGGCTGCTTTTTTTTTGAGACCAACTGACTTGTTCACGTGTGTTACGCACTTCTATTACCTAACCTGTTGTGTAGAGGTACCTTTCGATTTGTTGGTTAGGCGCTCACTGTTGCAGACCGCAGGCACATGGCGCTAAAAAAAAGCAGCGAAGAAGCTGGTATGTACTGTCGACCGCTTGGTTGTTTTGTCCAGGCTGAAAGCCATACAGGGCCAAAGGGTAGTGTTTTGCTCACAAGGATAGAGAATCAACGGTAGACACCCCAACCTCGAACATAGTCGCATAGTCGAACACCTTCAGACCATTCACCGGAAACATGAGACGGTTGAGTGTACAGCATGTTTCATTGCACTGGGTTGCTCCCAGCTGTGGCAGTTGAATGACAAAGGCATCACCAGAACCATTCTATAGATCTGTTGGCTCACAAAACCTGTCATTGGATGTGTCTACAGGAAAATCTGCGCAAGAACTCTGGGACGGTACCTTGTGGATTGGTTCTGCTCGAGTTGGCTCTTCGGACAAACCGATGCTGAGATTCTCGTCAAAGCTGAGGAGTTCTTGCCATACACACATGCAACCTCCATGCGCTACTTGCTGGCTGGAGAGCCCTTCTCTTGCACTATGTTCAGGCCGTTTGAACATGTTTGAACTGGGTTTTCCCATGAAGAGCATGAATTGCCAGAAGGTTCTGTTTGAAGCCAGTCACAAGGGAGACCAGGTTCTTGAAAGATCCCCGAATAGTGGATCTCCCCGCAAGTCCTCTGAAGGCCAAAAGGCAAATATGCTTTTTCCATCTTTTTCCCTTGTTTTTTGGTAAAAGGAAGTTAATCCCGCGTATTTACACGATGTTTTGCAAGCCAAGCGGCCCTTCATCCCAAAAGACAAGATGGTACAATCCATTTTGAAAGGCGAGTGATTCGGAGCGCTACTTGCACGTCGACGAATGACTCGTGGACTCGGCATCGCCACCAAGGTTGCGATATGTTCGCACCATACAGAGCAGCATGGATAATGAAGAAGTGACGGAGGAGGCCTAGATGCAATGAGACATGCGAATGTCACATTTTTCTTGAGAGATGACTTTTTAGTCTTTGCTCGTCTTGCATTTGGGATATTTGGGGCTTCTGGGTTGGCTCATTAGATCGACATGCTCGTGAATTGTTTGTAACGGGTGCGATGTTTGTTGGTCATGGGGTTTCAAGGACTGGTGGGGTTGAGTCATAATCAATTAGTTGAACAAGGCGCAATAGAGGAGAGAGTGCGATGGAGAGAGCAAGAAAGATAAGGAAACGTAACCTAGAAAAGCTCTATTTATATATAATACAAAGCTATTTGGACACCACACTGTGTCCCAGATGAGGAATCCAGCAAGTGCTAGGCATACCATGATCGCCAACAGGACTCATAGTTCGGTTCTTTGCGGATAGAGTCTGAACAGGTGCAATTTCACCGAGCAAAAAAGGTTCTCAACAGACACTGGGGGAATGGACGGCCACGGTTTCGTCCAATTTGTTTGCATGTCCGCATGCCTGGATCTCGCCAAGCATGCCTTGAGGAACTCGTCATTGAGCCAGGCCGGGGCAAGACCAGTTCCAGCTGCCCTTTGGAGACTTTTAACAGTTGAAGATCATGAGTTGGTGGTCCGCACTTGTGATGAACCCGTGTTGGTTTTGCCCCAATACCAACCAGATGTTCACACAGGGGCTATCCTGGATGCCCCTCTTTCACCCGACTTCTGAGCGGGACGGGTGATGTAGCTACGATCAGACTTCTCAGGGAGGCTTCGAAGCTCATTGCTTCTCCCAGGGGCCGAAGCTCGGTGTCAGTGGGCCAACCAGCCTCGCAGCCTCGCACTGGTGGGCTTTCGACACCGTCTTTGATAGAAGGCTTTCGTGATCTTTCGTGTTTCAATCCAATAGTGCATAGAAATGGTGTTGATTGTTCAATGGCTTCGACCCTCAAAAATACATGCATGTAAACTTTAACAAATGCACTTGTTGTTTCTCCGGCCATCCCATTAACCATCCCACTTTCTCAAGTTTTATTTCAGAGAGCATACTTTATACTTTGTTTGAATCCACCCACTCAATCAGAACCTACGCAACTCGTAGGGGGTCTAGCGAACCATCCACTCCAGCTCAGGCAAGGCAATTGAACCTGCGCTGCAATCCCACCTAGTTTCCAGCAAGCAAAGCCCCTCAATCAGCACTGCTGGGCGCCTTCAGTTTTCAATTGTGTTTCCGACATGCTTCTATCAACCTCAACCTGGGATGATCATCCCAAATGACTCCTAGGTCCTATGTTCAACCTGGGTGATGAACCAGTAGTGATTCCCATGACACTTATTTTGCCGGTGGCCCCGCACCAAGAGCTTCATCCGCTCAATTGCTCACCGCTTCGCAGGTGGAAGCCGCTGGATCTCCGAAGCCGTGATGTGGATCCAAGACTGGGCCCCCCGACTGCGGCGAGTGGCGGAGTGTTTTCTGGAGGCCCAGTGGCGAGGTCACAGACGAAGAAGGTCCTCAAGCGAAGATTGGGCGGTTTCGAAGGATATGGACATGCATCTATGGAAATGCATCTATTCATATCTATTCTAACAATTGCTTAGCCCAGGCTTGCCCAAAGGTTCGAAGCTGCGTTCTTGACCCACTACCCGCGCTGCGCATGCTATTGATTCATGCTTTGCATAGCCCTACACTGATACGATGGGATACACTGATACGCTGATGAACACCCCACCTTAAGAGAAGGAGGCTCGCACAGCCACATCGCGAGACGCGTTATATGGGCGCATGTTGGTGAATGAACGGGTGCGCAACATTGCGTGTTTTGCGAAGTGTGCGCTTGTTTTTGCAGAAAAGGCTTGTTGTGAGTTGCGCAACCTACCCACCCACCCACCCACCCACCCACCCAAAAAAAGACATGTTTCCATTGATTGATACTGAGACTGTGGTATCTATCTTTGGTTGGTTGATTTCGCGCACTTACAACATACCTAAAACCAACGGTTTTTGCGACATGTTTGATGGCAATGCTCCTGAAGTACCCTAACTCGAAACACACAAAACATAGCAGCAAAACACAATGATTTCCGCATTAGTCCAAAGCTGAAATCAAAGTATAGTGTGTTGTTGCTCTTTTAGGTTCACATGACATCAAATGACCCTTTTGCTTTGACAATGTTCAAGCTTTTATGTCAGTTTGTATGTATAGCTAGCTAGTGGTGCTGGTTGTTGGATTTTGTGACAGCAAGACAAACAAAACACACTTCCACCCAGCTTCCACCCAGGAATATGTGGGCGAATTGTCTGCGACGATCGAGTCCCACTTGCTTCTCGTTCACTCGATTCGCCAGGTACGTCGCCAGGTACCGCCCCATCCACGCCCACGGCCGTATCCTAACAACCGGTTCGTTTGGCCCGGTCCAGGTCTTGGGATCGTTTCATGACCTCTCTTGGCACACCGACCTGTTCAGTTCATCCCACGCTGTATGCATAATATAGAAAGAAGGGGTCCTTTTTATGGAAAAGCATCCAGAAGCCTTTGTGCCGGTGGCATTGCACAGCAATTGCAGGTAATTAGACTTGCCGGCACTAAAACATGGTCCAGTCACTTTCCTCACAGTCCTTTGTTTTGGTTGCTGCCCAGAAGCTGTGCGTCATTGTACTAGAGATTTAGACCCAAATAGCCTCAGACAAGAAACATGTGATCAGTTGAAGTCGAACTGTCATTTGCTGCAGATGTGCAATTCATTGAGAATCTGTTCACTTTGCAGAGCTGGAGTAGCCATCACTGGCAGAACCTTTGGGTTTCAATTCTAGTTGACCGACCTCATTCTAGTTCATTATGTATGCTAAATGTACATGTTCATGTTTCCAGCTGGCGCAGCCGTGCCACCACACCTAACGCTTCAGGTCGCAAGTTGATTTGCCACTTGGCGCAGTCGGACTGGGCAAAAAATCAGAATCAGCGCTACCATCTTCAGGGTACATAGCTGATAGACAGTCTGGTACATAGCTGAGACGCCCCTCAACAACATCATTAAAGAAGCTGTATGTCACAGGATGGTATGGAAACGTTGCCTCAACCACCACAGCTTTAGTTCGCAGTCTCAGGATTTAGAACAGTGATCAATGGTGTTGTTTCGGAAGTGCAAGTGTGAAACTGCAACACCTTGCGAGAATGGTGGAACACGCACGGCATTACATAAGGTTATATAAGATCATATAAGAGTAGTATGTACTATTGGTTAATTCTATATTTATATAGTGTTATATATGCATATGTTGGTGCAAGTTAAGTATACGTCCTTTTACTTCAAGTTAAGTATACGTCCTAGTCCTACTACTTGAGATTTTACAGTGAGGCTTGAAGCACCTTGAAGTCTTGTTATAAGCATTTCAGCTTTTGATCCACCTGGACCTTCAGTCCTGGGGACAGATTCCATCTCGACTAGCCGACGCCTCCATGGCACTCGAGGTACCCTGCGTCTCACAAGCTGCTGAAGAACTATGCCAACGATTTCGTGATGTGGCTCCAGAGCTTGCAGCCTGATGAGATGACCGACGTTTTAGAACCCATCATCGTGCCACTCAGCAGGATTTTGTGGGGTCAATTTGCGCCGGTCCATCAGCGCTTCAAGGAAGTGCGGAGAGGTGATTGTGCCGAACTAACGTGCGGTGTGGCCGACCGTGCTGGTGACGTCGGCATACGTTAGGTTTTTGAGATTAATTTGGATTCACTTGGCCTTGCGAGTTGCATCAGCTGTTGAATGTTTTGATGACAACAGTGACAAGATTGAAGTTATTCTGGTGGACTTGCAGAGCAAAACGCTTCCCTGGCAGCACTGTGATCTAGTACCACGTTATAGAGATGTTTGGAGGATTCCACCAGTCCAGAGGGTCCGGACGTAGAGTCAGATGGCCAGGTGCAACTGGCCCCGAAATCATCGGACTGTTCTGAGTTTCAGCGGTCGCTGTTCCTCCGCTCAGATGCTTAGGACGATGCTTGTGAGGAATCAAGCCACTGGGAAGAAGAATTTCGCGCCTCAGCAGCTGCAAGCCGCTTGGACAAACAGTCTCGGCATGAGAACGGAGCTGCCGAGAGCCAAAGAACACGACATTCTGATAAAACCGACCTCCGGGGCTGCCTGTGCCACCTGCTGCAGGCTCCTTCCTCCTTTCCTCGTGCCACCGTTTGAAGCCGCTGACCGCTGAGCGGCCTAGGCGCCCCTGGCCGGGCCCTGGGGCGAATACAAAGGCTCCAAAGGGGATGCAGAAAATGAAAGAAAAGGCTGTCATGGAATGATATAGAAATGCTGGATTGGAATGTTGGATTGGACCGACCGGTCAAATTATGTCAAAAATTCCCTGACTTATTTGGGCTGAATTGGATGGATCCGGATTGTCAACGATTGCTGGCAACTGTTGGAGTCATGTGCATTGTGTAAATCATACGGTGTTTGTCCCCCATTATTCCCATACCTTGTCATGCCTTTGCTCGCACTTGTGTGAACGGCGCATTTCTTTTTGTTTCATAGGGAAACACGCTCACCCTCGGTGAACGACGTAACCGGTGTGTGGTAGTCGGAGACCGGACCTTTAATGATTGAAGGTCCCTTCCGCTCAACTCTGCCCATTCTTGGAGCCTATTGAATTTGGACCTTAGATGATTCTGGCCACCCGGAACTAGCAGGGTGGACTAGATTCGGCGACCTGACAGTGCTATGCTATTTGAAGTGATTTGTTTTGTGCTAGCATGTTCAAACTTGGCATTGTGTACCCCTCTCAGCACCAAGATTGACTCTGAATATCACTTGCATGTGGCGCATGTGGTGTGTCATGTGCGAGTATGGGTCCTTGAAGCTCGACCCGCGCCCGAGCATGCGCTGGCCTGGATGGCATTTCAAGAAGCGATGAAGACCCTGTCTCACCCAGCTCGATGCAGATCTCAACACATGAGCCACCGCGAATGTTGGCTGCCCCAACTTGCTACTGTGGTGGGTCTCTACTTTTTGGGTCGACTTGTCAGTACATTTCGTTCGTCCAACTCACAATGCTGTGGCTCCCCAACGTGGCTCTTCTGCTCCACCTTCCTTGGTGGATGCGGGGAGCTAAGCGACCCTCCTTGGATCGGCCAAGCTCCAACTGAACCCAAGCAACGATCCCTGCAAAGAGCTATACCTAGCTTCATGGCCTCCAGGTGTGGTACGGGAAGTGGGCGTTAGCGGCCAAGAGATGAGATTCCAAAGAGGACTTGCTTTCATCCCCACTTGTGAAGCCCGGCGCTGCGAAGCACGCCGCCGTTTTGCGCAGTTTTGGACTTGTGTGTTCCAGTTTCAACGAGCAGAGGAGAAGATCAAGAGAATCATCCGAAGCTTCTAGGTAGGCATTTTCAACACCACAGACCGGGGTGAACTGTTTTTTTCTCACCTGTCAGTTGAGGGTTCCTTCTCCTTTTTCTCCTCGCCTCACAACAGCAAAGTGGGGGGTGACATCAACAGCAAGCTCCAGATCACAGTGGGCACTCCCGGGCCCCAACAGCAAGCGCCAGATCGCAGTGGGCACCACCGCCACCACCACCACCAACAACAACAGCAGAAGCAGCAGCAACAACAACAACAACAACCGCAGCACGCAACACGCAACACCCAACCCACAACCCACAACCCACAACCCACACATGACACACCACACACGACACACAACACACAACACAACCCCAACCACAACTACAACACCACAGCACCACCACCGCCGCCGCCAGCACCAGCACCAGCACCAGCACAACACACCGCACACAACACACAACACAAACACAAACACAAAAACAATAATTACAAGACAACACAGCAATATAATTACATGTGTGTGTGGCATATTTTGCGTGGCAGGTAGTCACAGGGCCACACTTTGGATAGAATGCCAGCTGTAGACCGTGGCGACACCCCAACACAAACACCGCAACACGAAAATAACAACCTCAAGCCCGAGGACCTACAAGCAACATCGAGAACCACAAAACCCCCATGGCAGCATGCTCCCCACCGCATGAAAACACATGATTGTCACTGGGAATCACTCGAAGTAAAGGTATTTTTGAGGAGTGATGGGAACGTAGGACCATCTAGGACCTACAGCCTTAAAGCACACATACTAGAATCCGTGAAGGCCAACTGGAACACAGTGGAGCTCAAGTAGAACGGAGTTCAAGTCACAAGGGTGGCTCGCCCAGAATGCCAAAATAAAGCAAGGACAAGCGGAAGATGCGGCTGACATGCTGAGAGGCTTCTCTCAGCCTTCAATCAGTTGGGGGTGGTGGGTGAGGTTGCGTCGTGTTGTGTTTGTTTGTGCAAGGCGTTCCATGGATTTCATGGATCCCCTCCTTTATATATCCAACTGGCCACCTTAAATCCATAACCTCAAAAAAGGGCGCTAAGGTCAGATTTTGACCATCGGACCATATGTGATAGAGCGGGAAGCGGGCCCCATTTCTCTACTCTACATGCATCATCATCATCATCATCATCATCATCATCATCATCATCATCATCATCATCAGCATCATGATGTATCTATACAATCCCCTTTTTGGTCAACGCTGGTCACATGAACATTTTTGCAAACTCTTGCCTCTAAGACACTATGATATGAAGAGGTTCAACCCGTACTGCCTGCAATCTCTGACTCACCGGGGTTCATTTTGTGGGGTTCCTTTTTCTGTTTTTAGACCTGCGTGTCTTGCACAAACCATACACGTCTCTTCGTGACTCACTGGCGTGGGTGGTGAACCAGGAAACCAAGGTCCATTTTCATCCATGATGATTCCAGGGAGTGCAACCGATATATATATATATGTAATATAACATTGTTTGCATTTGGTAATCGAATAAATCACTCACTTTGCAGCTGACCAAGGCGCCGGCGACGCAAGTCGTACCGTTCTCCACGCGTCCTCCAGGAGGGGACCCGTGCCGTTCTCCGAGAGTTCGCCTGCAGCCTGTAGATCTTTGCTGTGTTTTGATCAGAATCGTTCACCAAAACCGCAGCCCGGACATTTAAAGGGATTTCAGAATGTATTCTTTGTTCTCCATCTCATCCCTTGGCCAAGATCTAGTCGCCGTTTGAGATGCAAGGCCAAGATGGGCTTTCCGCGGGCCGACAGTTTCCTTTCCATGGGTTGTTTTCCATTCTCGGCGCCTCCAAGCCTTCAGAGTGCATATATAGTCTATAATGTGCTTAAACATGCTTAAAGGCTTAAACATTGCAAATAGCAGGTGGCTTGAACTATGAAGGCCCCCAAAACAGTCGCCTTTTTGATGTTTCTGAAACGTCGCATCCTGTCGCCACTGGCTTCTTCGCCAGGCATGTCTTGGACGTGGCGGCTGCGGCAAGGCTGGGCGAGGAATGACTCGTGTTCGGGGTGGTTGATAACTATCCCACAAGGCAAAAAGACTTCTGAGCTTAAAATCATCTCCAACATGGCCAACTTGCAAATAGAAATGAACACACCAGTCGTTCCACATTGATGTGGGAGTTCCATTCTTGGAGTTGCTTCAGTGCCTGGGACATAGTAATCGTGTGCGCTGCACATGGCGCAGCATTTCGGCACGTGGGTTTGGACCGTGAGAAGCAGTGGAGCGCCGGTTGGAGCAATATTGATAAGAATCGATTACATAAACGTTTGAAATCTCACAGTGCCTTTTGATGCTTCTAGTAAAGTGGAACTTTAAGCGGAAAGAGATTCATTCCTAACATAACATATCATAATATAGCAGAGTCCTTTACGCCACACACTCTTCAGCATTGGGATGGTCGATCAGCCTTTGCCCGTCCCAACCCAAACGATGAATTGAATGCACCTCATTGGGGATAACGAAAACAGACAACATTTGTAGATTCCAACTTGGAATCCGATTCTGAAAAAAAGGGTGCACTGGGCCTATCTGATAGGGGTGCACTGTGACATGCTGCGACCAGGCGCTTGCACACCGTCACAGGGTCGCACCACACATGGAAGAAATTGAACCATGCCAACAGTGGCCAACCAACACCTGGTAGATGTCGGCAGCAGATCGTACAGATTCACCAGATGCACTAAGTACTCATTGTTCTTCTTAATCTTCCTTCCAGTAAGGAATAGTACTGTAATCAACTTGCACGGATGCAGCGGAAGCACAATAATCATGATATCACAGTTTGGAATCTGGAATAGTTTTGACTCCTGTTGAAGGTTGAGACACGGAAGTTCAGACATGGAATTTATGTTTTCAGCTTCAGTATTTTGAAACAAAAAGGGCCAACATCAGCAAACTTGAAACACGTTGACAGTCCACAACATCCTCCTACAACCGTGTACAGCAATCTACAAAAAACAACTTCCTACAGAATCAAAACATTTAAAATTGGCTATATATAGAAAAACCTTTGCACGACAAAATTGTTTGGACGTTTGGAAGAATGGTCACTGCTGAGAGTCCTTTTTCTGAGCTTTGATGATTGGGTTGAGATGACTACCTTAAAGGCTGAGGGGGTATGCCCTGAGGCCAGGTTCCCGTTCTGCAACAATCCCAACCCCAACTCTCCCGAACTCACCGAGGCAAAATATGGAAACATATGGTTGGTTGTGGATGCTTGTGGATGCTTGTGGATGGTTGGAGGATTGCAGATCCGATCGCAGATCCGATCCGATCGCACTGGAGGTTTCGATTGCTGGTGAACTTTGAGCTTGACAGCTTCGAGGAGCGGAGCACGGAGAGCACAAAGAGGAGAGAGGAGAGGAGACACACAGAAAACAGCCGAGCATTCATATCATAAAAGCCGGGTGCAGGGGGATGCTGGGGCACCAGGTTGAAGGACTAGTTGAAGCCTTGTATTGCGACCGGGTGGCCTTTGTTTTTTCCCATTGCTGCTCAACTGCTAGGTGAAGATTTCGGATGCGATCGCACCTGTTGGGGACTTGGCTGACTACGACGGTGATGCAGAAAAGTCATGCTGAGCAACATCCATTTGATGCGAGATTACAGTTTGAGGCTTCTTGCTCCGACTCCCCCAGACAGTTCTTAAGAAGTAGGCTCGAACTGCAAAAGAAGGAGCTCCTGCACAATATGACCTACCTGACGTTCCCGACTCCTAGCATCGCCATGATTTGCCCAGGTCATCCGCTCTCAACTGGTATTTGGCTCTCCTGGCATCCAACTTCACTTGCAGTGCCGTCCTCAGGGCAATTTGTGAGGACTAGTAGTGACTAATTTGTGTGATTGTTGGACATGAGGCTTTTGCCTGCA